CATCTTAGACTGCATTGTACAAGGTGAGCATAAGTTATTGTTAGTTCTAGTGTGTCTCTTTTTTTTAAAAGTTGGTGGAGTTTTTTTTGTTAGTCTTTCTTGAAACTTCTGTCTCTTTCTATTTCCTTGCTGTAGTTGAACCACAAAAAATTCTGTAATCTAATACTTGGGATAATGGTTGAATTCTGTGACAATCCCAAAACTACGGCTCATGTCAATGCTTGGCGAGGAAAGAAGGAGCAGACAGCTGCAAGTCTTTTAATCAAATTGTGGAGAAGAGAAGAAAAAGAACTTGGTGTAAAACGTGATAAAAACGGGAAGATAATCGGTAAGTGTGTTTGTAATTGTTGGCAGAAGCAATTGTATTGATAATTTCAAAAGAGAACTTGAAAAGACGTTAGTAGAGAATTGCCACCCCTTTGTCTAGAGTTCTTTCACAGGGTTTGAAGACCCTGTGATGGTTAGGAGAACACTACGTAAGAAGTTCATCATTTTATAAAATATTATTAAGAAATGGTATGATTATATACTTTATTATATTCTTTAACTTGAAAAGCTAACAGAACTTCCTGAAGAAATTTCTTTGTGTTACTTTCTCTCTTTTCACTTAATCTTCTTTTATTGCTAGAATTCGCAGAGTCTCAAAAGAAGGTTACAAACAGCAAACAAACCTATATAGGTAAACAACGAAAAGACACTGGTAGTCGACCCCCTGTGGGCTGGAAATCACCAGCGAGGGGCGCTTAGCTCCCCTCTGCTAGTTCCCAGGTTGGTCCTGCTGCAGTCCCACGGTGATGCTGCTGAAAGAGCACGGGCTGAAAGGCAAGAACCTCTAAGCCCCACGGTGCTGTGCGGCTTGCACTGTACCGTCCCACTTCGGCTGTACGACTTCCACGTGTGCCTGCCCCTGCTCTTGGAGGAAGAAGGGCCACTCCTGCAGGGCAGGCTTCACAGTAGGGTCCCCAGCCTCACATCCAGGCAGGGACCCCAGAGGGCAGAAGTGCTTGCTTTCGCACCCAGTCCTCACCCCACCACAGCGCTCTCCTCAGGGAGGGTTTTTCCAGACACTTCTGAGGATAGAATGCCCGGGTCCCCGGGCATTCGCCTTCCCGTTCCCTCTGCCCAGCTTAGGGGCCACCTGTGCTACCTTCTCTTCCAAATAGATTGAGTAATAACTTCATTTACCAGTAATATTTTGGACAAGATAGAGTGTGTTCTATCTTGAGTATAGATAGAGTATTTTCAAAACAGTTTTAATGCATCTTGTACGTTCTTATTGATACTTGTTGATACAATTAGTTTTTACTGTGAAAGAAGACATTATTTTCTAAATAAAAATAAGCTGAAAAAATCCTAAAGTTTAGTTTCTAGATTCTAAATGAATGAGATTTATAGTGTGAGAAATGATGATACTTTTATATATTCTTACCATGTTATACATTTTATACACTATGTGTTTTATTCATTATATCATGTTAAACCTTTTAACATTCCTAGTTCATCAAAACTGTTATTATTCTTCACTTCAAATGAAAAACTTCCTTCATTTTAATTTTTATTTCTATTTCTTATTACTGTTTTGATTTACATCATAAAAATTGTTATTGTATAACATTTTAATAAGGTAAAACAACTGAGACTATACCATTTAAAACCGACAATATTTTATGTAAAGTGTAAACTTTATTTACAACAAAGTTTTCACTTTTTAAAGATTAAATTTTTTAAATGTTGTCATATTACAAATAAATAATAAATTGGAAAACTCAGTTTTTCCATAGCATGGGAGAGAAATAACTTACTGCTTACTTTCCAAAGAGTAGCCATGTATAAGCGACAATTTTAATCTATGCTAGTATTTCTATAGCAGCCCTGGTGGTGTAGTGGTTAAGCCTTGGTTTGTGATCCTCATGGTCAGCAGTTCAAAACCACCATGGGAGAAAGACCAGGCTTTCTACTCCTGTGAACAGTTACAGTCTCAGAAACTTACAGGGGGTTGCCATGAGTCAGCACTGACTTAAGCAGTGAGTTTGGAGTATTTCTCTATATTTTATGTTGTGCAGACTAAAATCTCCAAGTTAAGCAGTTATTTACTGTTATTCAAACTCCTGTGTTTCATACTATCCCATGATTAGATACAAAGAAACCCCTACTTACTAGCTTTCAAGAAGAGCAGAAAGTCATGCCACTGCCTGCCAACTGCCCTACAGTTGCAGTCATGGATGTTGCTGAGAATATCCGAGCAAAGATTTATGCTGTGTTGGGCAAACTGGGTAAGAAATAACTTCAAATTCAAAAGAACATCTCATTTTGCTGAATATGTGTATCGACTTTGCTTTGCCATGTCTTTTTTCAAGCATCTTAAGTCCCTTTGTGCTAAAGCCTGCTCTGGTGGCACAGTGGTTAAGTGCTCAGCTGGCAAACCAAGCAGCCTCTCTGTGGGAGAAAGGTGTGCCATTTGAATTCCTAAACTTCCACTGCCTTGAAACCCAATGGGGGCCTATCTATTCTGCCCTTTGGCATTGCTCTGAGTCAGAATCACTTTGGTGGGCTGGGTCTTTTCTGTTTTGTTCTTTTATACTTCTAATGCATGACCCACTGCTTGTCCCGACTGCACCCCTTACTACCAGTTAAATCAGAATCTCTGTGTGGAGGACCCGGGCGCTAGTATTGTTTTTAAAACTCCTTAGGTAAATTCCGGTGTGCACCCAAAGTTAAGAAATATTAAACAACTAAGCCTCAGTACCAGAAGTTTAATCACCTGAGTTTTTTAAATCCTTGACTCCTGTAAAAGACAAAAAAATTCCCCAGTTACAGAAAGGTCGCGGGGAGGAGAGGAGTCAGTCAGGGTGCAGTGTAGCAACGACAAAACATACAACTTTCCTCTAGTTCTTAAATGCTTCCCTCCCCACCCCCACTATCATGATCCCAATTCTACCTTACAAATCCAGCTAGACCAGAGGATGTACACTGGTACAGATAGGAACTGGAAACACAGGCAATCCAGGACAGATGATCCCTTCAGGACCAGTGGTGAAAGTGGTGATACCGGGAGGGTGGAGGGAAGGTAGGGTAGAAAAGGGGAGCTGATTATAAGGATCTACATATAACCTCCTCCCTGGGGGATGGACAACAGAAAAGTGGGGGAAGGGAGACATGGACAGTGTAAGATATGACAAAATAATAATTTATTAATGATCAAGGGTTCATGAGGGAGGGGGGAGGTTGGAAGGGAGGGGGGAAAAGAGGAGAGGTACAAAGGGCTCAAATAGAAACCAAATGTTTTGAGAATGATGAGGGCAACAAATGTACAAAATGTGATTGACATACAATGGATGGATAGATGGATGGATGGATTGTGATAAGAGTTGTACAAGCCCCAAATAAAATGATTATTTAAAAAAAAAAATTCCCCGGTCTTCAAGTTCTATAAGCTCAAATCCATTGCCCGGCCACAGAACAGGAAGGCCAGGTGACTGCATACGGATGACCTGGCACAGGTTTGTTTTAGGAGGAAGCCAGGTGCTCACAAAGATGGCTTCCTCAGAAATGAAGATGGAATCAAAAGTGGGTGTATTGTTTTTGTGTTGGCTATTTGTGTTTTAGGAATCACTTGCTCTGCTTGCGTAATGCCCTCTCTGTGCACTTTGTTTAGATTTTGAAAAGTTGCCTGGCCTGTCCGCTGAGGATTTTGTCACTCTTTGTATCATACATCGGTATCTTGACCTTAAAGTGAGTATCTTAATAATTTTGCTATTCATATTAATATGTTAAAACATAAACTCGGCATGAAAAACTCTATTGTGTGAGCAGTAATCCACAGACCATGGAGTTTTTGTTATCCAGTTTCCATTTGATGGTGTTCAGGAGACATATACCACTATGATCAGGTTATTTCCATTGAATAAAATTTCTCCAAGTTATTTGTTTATAAGAGAACGTGAGTGTTATTGTTACAGAGCTATTCAGAATCCTAACCAACTTTTAAATACATCATTTCTTCTCTTTCGAGAGTACTTGCAACTAGAATGTCTAGAGAGCCCCTGTGGTGCAGTGGGTTATGTATGGGGCAGCAAACTGCAAGGACAGTAGTTTGAACTCACCAGCTGCTCCAAGAGAGAAAGCTGAGGTTTTCTGCTTCCAGAAAAGATTGATAGCCTTAGAAAGTCAATCCTATTCTATTGGGTCACTGTGAGTCAGAATCAGTTGGGTTAGGTTTACACAGTCACTCACTCACTGCCATCAAGTCAGTTCTCACTCCAAGCGACCCTATAGACAGGGTACAACTTCCTGAGTTTCCAAGACTATAACAGGAGTAGAAAGCCTGGCTTTTCCTCCCTCAGAGCAGCTAGTGGTTTTGAACTGCCGACCTTGTCATTAACAACCAATGAGTAACTACTAGGCCACCAAATTAAGAGCTAGAATGAAATATTTACACACATTCCTTACTTATTGATGTGGTAGCTAATTAAGAACTGGTCATTATGTGAAAACCATGTTATGTGAAAATGGAGGATGACCAAATCAGATCACCAAAAGGAAAATGACCAAATCATTGCCCATCAACTCAGTCATGGCCCAGCCAAGTTGACATAGAACCTTAACCATCACAGCCAACATTGCACGCTTCTCACACTTGGTGTGTGTTACTGGTAAACACTTGGTGTGTGTTGCTGGTCATTAGTGCACAAAGTAGTGTAATAGTAGATTTTAGTGTGGAACATTTAAATGCAAAGGGTTGGGTAACAAAATTGCCAGTGTTACACTTATTAAAATAGGTTGTGAATGCATATTAGTATTGTTGTATTATATCATTTATCATTACTCTACATCTCAATCAATTACCAACTAAAAGATATTAGGATGCTTATCTTATTGGTTTTATTTTTGTGTGTAAATAAATGATTTTGAAGTCTCAAGAGAGTTTTTAAGTAAATAAATATTATTATTCTAATATTAATACTACAAATCTGAATTATGAAAACAATCTGAATTGCACCCCTGTGCTGCATATGAACATCTCTCACCCTCAAGAAGTCAGGGGAAGTAGCTCAGTGTTGACTTTGGAGGGACCACCAAATGAAGAATTACCTAAAATTGCATCATTTAATGCCAGTTAATTATAAACATAAACTTTGTTTCAACAGATTGGAGAAATATGGAATGAAATATATGAGGAAATAAAATTAGAAAAATTAAGACCAGTCAGTGCAGATGCAAAAATTCTGGAAGCTATTACAACAGCATCGGAGAACATTGGAAAGATGGTTGTTTCCTTGCAGAGCGAGATGATCGAGAGCCAAGCACGCCAAGATGTACAAAACGAGCAAAAAGTTTATTCAAAAGTAAGCCGCAGAGACCATCGAAGCACAAATATGCATTTCACTGTATTAATCCATTTAAAAGATCCTTCAGATATTTTGGTTCTCGTAGAGTTCTTTTATGTTTTTGTGTAGTGGCTTTTGAAGACTGGCAAGTTCTCTATTTACTATAGTTCTTGCTGTGTGACTGCATTACAAGTTTTTGTCTACAGTCTTCCCTTGCAAAAGGTAAAGAGTTAACTGAGACACTTCTATTTTTTGACACACCACACAGCGTTCCAGAACTGCAGCCTGTGTCCATATATGACGGTGTTCTTGGGTGTCGTAGGTCCACCGCAACTCTAGAGCTCTTGTGTACAGCACACGGACCTGTTGCTCCCTGGGTCCCTTGTTGCAGCCACCATGTCAACCACCTCATGGAGGCTCTTTCTCTGTTTCACTGACCTCCTCCTGTACCAAGCAAGATGTCCTTCTCCTGTGACTGCTAGCACGTCTAAAGTACTTGCCAGCCTCCCTTCTGAGAGCACTCTGGCTGCGCTTCTCCAAGATAAATTGGTTTCTTCCTTTGGCAATCCGTGGTACACTCAATATTCTTTGCCAACACCATCATTCAAATGCATCGGTTATTCCTTATTCTTCCTTATCCGTTGTCCAACTTTTGAATGTATATGAGGCAATTAATTAGAAGGACCCTCGCTTGGGTCAGGCATACTTTAGTTCTCAAAATGGCCTCTTGCTTTTCAATACTTTAAAGGGGTCTTTTGTAGCAGAATTTAAATACATATACTTAACAAATTCTGGCAGAAAAAGTCTATCTCTGACTATGTGTATAGCCTCCTTTAGAGATAAAATTGACCCACTACCTTCATTCTATGATAAGCCTTTTTCAGCATGCCAATCATAGGCATATTAACTTTTTTGTAAGTTATCAAAGATTTTATTTTACTCGGGCACACATCAATACCCATAGAAGCAAAAGTCAAAGGACCAAACAATATTTTTGCTTTGAGAAACTGCAGCAAAAGACGTCTTTAAAAGATTACAAAGCGAAGATATCACTTTGAAGACCAAGTTGTGCCGGACCCGAGGCATGAGCTTTTCTTTCCTATTTTTAATTGGGAATTAGGTCAAGGTAGACAGAATTTTACATCCAACAGTTCCTACACATTTTGTGTCAACTCATCTGCCCTCATTGTACCATCACTTATCCCACTTCCTCTGTTTTCTGTTTTATTTCCTCCTTTCCTAAACTTCTGAAATGTTCCCTTGAGTAAATACTGCCTTTTGGCTCTTAAGCGATTGATTAGTTGACCAGAGTGGTGAGTTCAGTTTCAGACCTGGAGGGTAGGGACCATAGTCTTGGGGATTCCACTAATCTCTATCTGATCAGTAAACCTGTCCTCTCTTATGGTTTTTAGTTTTATCCTGCACTTTTCTCTCACTCTATGAAGGGTTTTCTAATATGATCCTTTTTAGTGCAGTTGGTGGTGGTAGCTGGGCACCATCTAGTTCTTCTGGTCTCAGGATCACGGAGACAAATACTTTCATGATCCATTAGTCCATTGGACAAGTTACTTCCATAAAGCTTTCGATTTTCATCACTCACCTTTCCTCCAGAGGGATAGAGATCAATGGCTCCACCTTAGTGACTGCTCAGGAGCATGTAAGACCCCAGTCACTATGCAGCCACGGAGGAGTGGTTAGAACATGATCTCTGTGAACTGTATTATGCCAATACACTTGTCCCCTGAGATTCTGACCTCTCACGATAGCAACTCATTCCCTCAAGGATTCTGTTATGCCTGAAAATTATTCATAACTTTGCCTCCGGTATGTCTCACCACATTTGTTACTGTATTTGCAACAAAGATAGCTACATATATATTACTATCCTCTGCCAAACTTTTATATGCTTGTGGGTTTACTCCCACTTTCCCTCCCACACCAGCTCAGCCTGCATTATCTACCTAATCCTCCACTCATAGACTGTTGCAGTATTGTTCATATAACAATATTTGTATTGGCAAAATAGTAGGTTTCATTCTCACCTTAGTGCCAAGATACTCACTCTGAGCTTCTATAAATTACAGAGACAAACTCTCTGCCTTCAGCTGCTTAGAAAATGCCTCGGGGGTGTTCTGATGGAACACTGAATACGATAGACATTTTTAGCAAATGAGTTAAGTAACTTTTTAACTTGTCCAGAAACATGAAGATAACATGGTTCTCCTCTTCTGCTCAATGTTGCTCTATGACCAGAGTTCATTTAAAGCACTTTAAAGCCATTTCTACAGTGTTCTCTACTGCCTGAACTTTTCACATAAACCATTTCTAAACAAAGAATTCTGTCTTTATTCATGCATGAATTCTGCTACACCTTAGACACACAATTATTTCAGTTTTTATTTTGTGGATCATGCCATTTAAATCCATTTACTTGTTCCTCTTAAGTAGATACAAGTCGACAACCTTATTGGCCAGTTTTACTGTGTCAATAGTTCTTGCAGAAAGTGGGCTCTGTTGACTAGCTGTCAGTTTCTTATAAGGGATTTGTCCCTATTTGGTTTTCAGCAGTTGTTTTATTTAGATATTCTTAAATTAGTTAAAGCTTAACAACACATTGTACACCAACCAACAACCTGTGTCTTCTGACTGTAGCTGTCATGAATAGCCGTTGAGAACGATCCCTGTGGAAAACGATTTTCAGCTGAAACCTCCCTTGAAGGTGACCCCACAACACACATTGTGTTCTGACAGCATTGCCTGTTTTGCCACAGTCATAAAGCAGACGTTGTTTGACAATATGATCTTGCCCAAATTATTATCAAGGACCAGTGAGAAAGTTTATTGTGCCAGCCTGGCCAATAAACACAAGTGGGACGCCTAGCCTGTGGACTGTGTCGCTGTAAATTGAGGTCCCTTTAAGACATCTCTGGAGCTGGGGACTGGCGGTTGGTGACCTGGCTGGCAGTTGGTGACCTGCCTTGTGATTGGCTGCTGTGCTGACGTAGCCTAGCTCTCTCTATAAATAGAGGAAGATCTGGCAGCAGACTAGACTTGAAGGACTGCTACTCTCTCACAACTCTCTCTCATGGGACTGAGTTGCAGGGAGCCATTTGTAGTGCTTTATAATTTAACCATTCATTTCTTGTATTATATATTTATCTGTATATGATTTAACAGTTCATTTCTTGTTATATGTCTAATTATCTTTATAAATAAATATATTATCATCAATTTTGTTTTATCTCTCTAGAGAACCCTGTCTAACACAACCAGCATGAATCTTTTACTTTCTACTATGAATTTTTTAACTAGGTCATTTAAACAGCATGTACTAGATTATAATCTATTTTCACACGTGTTAGTCATGTTAAACAATAAATGTTCCTAAGAATGATTATTGTTATTAAAATTGCAAGTTTTGCGTTGCAGTTCATTAAAATCAGTTTAAGCCTTAGCCATATAACTAAACCCACTACGTACCATCAAGTCGATGCTAACGCCTAGTGACGCCGTGTAAGGTTTCCAAGACTGTAATTCTCTATGAGAGCAGACAACCTCATCTTTCTCTTGCAGAGCAGCTGATGAGTTTGAACCACCAAACTTGTCACTGCAGTCCAATGTGTTAACCCATAATGCCACTGGTGTTCCTGAGCCACATAACTAGAAATGATTTTTGACCTTTAAGTTGTATTCAATGAATATTCTCATCCTTTTCCTAGTTGGCCTTAAATTTTATCTTGGAAAACTCTAGGAGCTTCAAGACAGATGGCAGGAGGCCAGGGAGAAATGCACCTATGAATATCTGAGGCTTGGCAGATGCTGTTCCCACATATGTATTCAAATGTGCTGCAACTATATCCAAGGGCGCTGAAGAGCATAAACAGGGTAAAGTTTTGAAAACTGTTTAGCCATAACTAAACACGTTGAGCGACTGACTTCCTGAGCTTGGGAACTTAGGACCATGGTCTCAGAGGGCATCTAGGTCAATTGGCATAGCATAGTCCACAAAGACAATTCTCTACATCCTGCGTTTGTGAGTATCAGCTGGAGTTTGAAAAGCTTGTGAATGGCCATTTCAGATGAAGCCATTGGTCTGATGAATGTCGCGAGAGAAGGTCTTGGGCAGAAAGGAAGCAAAATATCAATGTGCAACAAAACTCACACTTATTAAGAAGAGCAGACTTGGTCTGATAGCCTGGTAGAACCCTTGAGACTGTGTCCCATAGACATCTGCCAAGCCTGGACCAGAACCCATTTCCAGGATTCCTATTTCAGCCAAAAGAAGTTGGACCTATAGAGTGAATGCTAGCACCAGAGAGGAATGTATTCCTCAGTGCAGTCAATCGTACAAGACCGGAAGGACAATATTGCTAGGTGCCTCAAGTCAGGTTCGACTCATAGCAACCGGATGCACAAGAGAATGAAACACTGCCTGGGCCTGGGCCAACCTCACAGTTGTTGTTATGTTTGAGCCCATTGTTGCAGCCACTGTGACAATCGATCCCGTTGAGGGTCTTCCTCTTTTTCGTTGCCCTTCTACTTTATAAGCATGATGCCCCAAAACAATGCTCAGAAGGCATGAAGAGGCAGGAAAGAAGGACAAATGGAAACGGGGAAGCCAGAGAGGAACTGAGGGGATCACAACCGATGTCATGACACAAAAGGTGTATAATTGTTGTTGGGAAACTAATTCGCTCTGAATTTTCACCCAAATTAAAATAAAAAATAAAATAATAAGAAATCATTTAAAAATCTAGCAGCTTCCTTCAAATAAGGGCTCTCAAGTTTTTTGGTATCCTTTGATATATATTGAAACTCTTTATTTATCTTCCTCATTTCAGATACAAGCCACACACAAGCAAAGGGAATTGGCTAATAAATCTTGGGAAAATTTCTTGGCCAGAACATCAAATGCTAAAACATTAAAGGTAAATTTGTTTGTTGATGTTTATTTTAAGAATATTACAATCCATCAAAAACTAACCAACTCTGTTTAAAGGCAGATATATTTTAGGAATCATTATTCATTCACGCTCTCTAGTGACTGACCTTTGTGTAGAATACTAACTCTATTTGGATCCTTATATGCAACTTAAAATGATAACTAAAACTACACATTTCAGTTATTGAAAACGCTACTCTGAGATTCATTTGGTGTAGCATTGAACATGTTGTAAAAGTGATATTCCTGAACTGCATAAAAGAAGCTAATAGTTAACCAAAAATCAACAGGAGGAATGTGCTTCTGTTTTCCATTTTACACATTCTTATTCACAGATTTATTTATTTTGTAAGAAGGACAGGGAAAAAGTCCTTTATTTTCTATCCATGTCCCAAGAAGTTTTCTTCTTCATGACCTCAAAATATGTGTCGCAAATACATCACAGCCAAGAAATGTGATGATCACCTTCACTTAGAAACTGAACACCAGTCCTGAAAGACTGAATCCTAGCTGCTCACTTGAAGTACGTGAACAGTGCCATGGGTATCCAAACTCTCGTTACTTTTCACCTCTTCCATGAATTCACTGAATACATTTTTACTTAATGTGACCATTCGTCCCCTGGATTGGAATTGCTAACTGTTAACTTAGTCCAAGTAAATAGTGGAACCATATTAAGATAGCAAAGCCAAAATTAACAAAATCACCAAAGGTACTCTGACTGTATCCACTTTTTCATTAAAAGGTCTTCCCAACTTTAACTGGAGACTAGCCTCAGAGCCCAATGAGTCCAGACTGAACTGGTGGCAACTAACAACCACAAAACCACTGGGGACACCTTGTTGGGCAATAAGATATTATACAGTCTCTGGGTGTCTTCGCACAGATTATTAATTACAAAGGTTAAAAGAGGAGTTTTTTAGGGGAGCAATCTCATGATTGCTACCATCACCAATGCCTGTGGTTATTCATTTGGGAATGGGTTGTCTTTTATGTTAAAGACCAAATTTATTTGGCCTACCACCACCTTTTCAGACAAAAAATTACTGAGCACCCCATGACAATTAAAAACATTTGTACTGTAATCCATAGTCCATGATAAAGTATAGGTATCTGCTTTTGCAGTGCCCCCTCCCCCAGTACTCCCAGAAGGTGGTATCGCCCACTCCCTGAAACACTGTGTATGGTTTTGTTTGGGGTTAGTCTCTTGAGATATGAGAGATGAAACAAGGACGCCAGTGAGCAGAGATGAGGTAAGATAGACACCAAAACACATGGAGAGTTCCAAGGAGCCAGAACGCAGAAGCTGAAGAAAAAGGGACCTTCCTCAGAGAGAGAGAGCCTTCCTCTAAAGCCAGAACCTTCTAGCTTCCTAAACCAGGAGAAAGATAAGCTATCTCCTCATGCTGAGACTTACAGTCTCAGAAACCCTATGTAGCAGCTCTTCTTGGTCCTGTAGTGTCTCTGTGAGTCTGAATCAGCTTGAAAGCAATGGGTAACGTCCTAACAGGCAGGAAGGGGCAAGAGAGAAGGACAAATAGAAGCAGGGAACCCAGGGATGAAGTGGGGAGTATACTGTTACAATGAGGGGATTGCAAACAATGTATATAAACAAAATGTCTATAATTTGCTGAATGGAAAATTAATATGCTTTTTAGGCTTTTCATCCAAAGCACAATAAAATGTTCACTATATGTGTGTTTGTGTTATGTATGTGTGTGTATATATATCCTCACACTCCCACAAATTTAATGAGTACTTAATGAAAATCAATCCCTGCTCTTTCAGATCATTTATCTCACATTTCAGCTTGTTTCAGTGTTATTATCGAGCTTGATCGAACTGTAACAAACTAGAGGATTTGAACATATGATATATAGAAGTGTGCTGGATTAGTATGTAAAATACATCGGCAATAGACATCCCCTGTTGTGAATGTTGTAGCTTTGTATAAGGTGCTAAAAATCGAACCTAATTTCTCTAGTACCTGCTTTACTCTTTGGTTGTACATGACTGATACCACTGGAAATCTCAACGGTATTTTCAGGAAGCGAGGTTTCCCTAAATGCACAAACAATAGAACATCCTAATCTCCAAAATGAGTAGGTAGAAATTCTGAAACTACCTTATAAAAAGCCACCTCAAGCCAGATACAAGTATTTTGTATATTCATTGTGAGTATGTATCATAGTTAATGCTTTACTAGAAATTAACCTTATTTCCTTCCAAATTTAAAACCCTTCAGAAAGCAAAAAGGCTTCAGGAAAAGGCTGTAGAATCCTCTAGATACAATGAACGACCACAAAACGCAATCTTTCATCGGACAGATATCAAAGGCCTTAACACAACGGTAAGTTGGATTTTTTCCCCACCACAACTCTTCTTAATCGACGTTTAATCTAGTCTCCAAATAGTGTTATTGCGATACAACTATAATCCCATATTTTTTTCTTTTCACCATTCACATTTCACATACTTCAGGCCCATTAACATCATGGCCACTCACCCGCCCCCGCGAGCTACACTCTAGGCTACCCAAGTAAGTGCGGTGACAACTAGGGATGTTCTGACATCCCCCGGCCAGCCGTTAGTAGCAAATGCGTGGCACCTCTGGTGCCTGGCAAAACCAGGTCCGTGCCATATCCCAGCATGCCTAGCATCTTTCTCTGGGCATGGTTTGCCCCAGGTTGCACAGCTGACAACCAGTTCGAATTAGGATTCAAACCCACTCTTGCTCCCAATCGTTGCCTTACACTCATTGCAACCTGTCCCGCAAGCCGGAGGGTGTGCAGGATGTGTGTAGGGAAGACGATGTCTCTTCCTTATTGAACAAAAGGTTTGAAGTTGGACTGTATTTACCTTGTGCCCTTTCAGGTGGCCTCTGGCCCGGTAGTAACAGTGGAAAGCACGCCTGCCCGGATAATAGGAGGCCCTCTGGCTGACACAGACCTTGCTCTGAAGAAGCTGCCTGTCCGAGGAGGAGCCCTGCAGAGGGTGAAAGCAGCCAAAACTGCCGAGGAGCTGAAGAAGAGTAATCCGAAATAAACGCCCTCGAGGCAGTGTCTAGTTAAATATACCTTTATCTGAAAATGTAAAGCAAATATTTTAGTAAATTATTGTGTCTAAAAAAGTAAGCACATCACATTTATTTTTATTGAAAATGTTAATATAGAGTCTTGGAAGAGTCGTCATCAAGTTCTCTGGAAAGATTACCGATTCTCGTCACTGAAATCATAGTATTTTCTCAGCTAGGACTCTTTTGGTTGCAAGTGGAAAAAACAACCCTGTCTCAACCTGATTTAGCAAACACATACATACCACGGACTGCCTGAAGAACATACGAGTCTGTGTTAGAGGAAATACAGCCTGAATGCGCCTCAGAAGCAAGGATGGAGCGACACCCTCCCACTTACTTTGACACATTATCCAGAGAGACTAGGCTCTAGGAAGGGTCACCGAGGCAGAGGAAGACCCTCAATGTGATGGGCTGATACCGTGGCTGCAGCAATGGGCTCTAGCATAACAATTGTGAGGATGGCGCCGGATGGGGCACTTATTGCTGTTGTGCAGAGAACTATGTGGGTCACTATGGGTCAGAGCACCTAACAACTATACATGTCACATCAGGGAGTGAACTAGAAGACAAGCATTGTTGCATCGAGGCACTGAAACCACATGAGTAGTACCTTCCCCTTCCCCAGCACCTCCTGGCTCTCATTCTCTCAGGCTCCCGTCCAAGTGAGGAGAGTGTATGTCTGTCTCCCAACAGACTCAGCATCGGCCTCTTGCATCTCAGGGCTCCTGACGGGACCATGAGCCTGCTCCTGGGCCATTGTCACTCACTTGGACTTTGGTCAGAACTGAGAACCCCTGCTCTTGGAGCCAGGAGGAAGCCAACCCATCCAAAGTGTGTATCATTTGGAGAGGGTAGAGGGAAACCCAAGTTACTGTTGTCATAAATATGTATGAAAGCTAAGTGATAAAATGAAATTAGTCTGCAACAAATACATTGGCCAAAGTAAAAATAACATGTGACTATAAAAAAGTACATGTTAGTCATGAGCTAAACAATAAAAAGTAAAATACAGGTGATGTCTGTAGAGAGATTTTATGCATGTGCCATTGGCCCCGGAACAGTATGTGGGTGGGATGCACTCCCACTCCAACCCTTTCCGTTGGAAATCCACATACAACTTTTGAATCCCCAAAACTTAACTGCTAATAGCCCATTGTTGACAGGTATCCTTACTGATAACTGTTGATCAAATAAAATGGATGAACCATTACTTTATAGGTGTATACTGCACCCACATAAAAAACTTGTGTTTTCAATACTAGAGAAAAAGGTACATTGCAAAGACAGCACGGTTTGCACACCTGCTTGTGTAACTATAGCAATGGCTTGACAAATGTTCTCATCTTCTTTGAAAACGTCCCATGCTCCCGGGCACTGGATGCACTTACTTTGCGATGGTGGGGGCCATGGCTGCAGACCTCCAGCTAGGGTACAGAGCCAGCAATGCAGCCTTTTCTCACTGTGTCACGGCTGTCCTCCGCTTCCTGGAAGCACTTACTAGAGGCCCTGTTCCCTATGGGTTTTACGTTGTTATTTAAAGTTTGTGGTATTGTACGATGAACAAATCTGATGAACAATGTATGAAAGCATGAAAGATTCCTTTTCACTGCCAGAATCAGTCATTACAGACATGAACAGCTCACAGAATGTTTTTGTTTGAGTTCCATGTATGGGTGGCCTCCGTGCAAACCTGTGCTGTCCAAGGGTGAACTGTGACAAGGACAAGGAGCTGCCTTACTGCTAGAAACAGGCTATGAGGTTTCCATGGCCTGTTTGTAGCCAGGCTTGATAACTATTTGCACCACCCAGGGACCTCAACTCAAGAACCCCAACACATCAGCCAATGTTAATGAATAAATGCAGCAGCAGCCTCAGCTCCTGGCAGTCTCTCCTTTGAGTCTACAACTGTAATCACATCCTGGGCCTAAATGAAAGGTTCAGCCAGCGACATATGATGCAAGGAACACTACCAGAGACAGCACGTTAAGGCAATTCAAATGTATTTACTTCTAGTAAGACATGATATGCTTTCTCAAATGGCGAAGCTTAAATGCTCTTTCATGAACACAGCCGAGACACGGACATAAAACGGATATTGTTTGAATATTATTTGTTAATATATTACAATATCAACAGATTGATCAAGGCCACTCCAATTCAAATACTTTGTGGGCCCTTCCCCTGCCACATAGAAGGGAAAAAGTGGTAGGGTAGAAAGGGGGAACCACATATATGTAGAAAGGGATCTACATATAACCTCTTCCCTGGGGGACAGACAGCAGAAAAGTGGGTGAAGGGAGACATCAGATAGTGTAAGACATGACAAAATAATAATTTATAAATTATCAAGGGTTCAGGAAGGAGAGGGGAGCAAGGAGGGAGGGGGGTAAATCAGGAGCTGATACCAAGGGCTCAAGTAGAAAGCAAATGTTTTGAGAATGATGATGGCAACAAATGTACAAATATGCTTGACACAATGGATGGATGGATTGGGATGATTTATATGAGCCCGCCCCCAATAAAATGATTTTTTTAAAAAAGAAGGGAAAAAGTGAAACAGATCAAGTGATTGTGAAGCGGCCATTTAACAAGGACAGAAACGTAGGTTGATGGAGCAGTCATACTGCTTAGGAGCCCTGGTAGTGTGTGGTGGGTTTCCTATTGAACTGCCAGCCCACGGTCTGCCGTTCCTGAGAGAAGCTGCTCCACGAGAGGGTCGAGGCTGTCTGCTCCTGCACAGATGGGACGTCTCAGAACCCGGGGCCGCTCCACTCTCCCATAGGGTCTCAAAGAGTCAGAATTGACCGGAAGGCAGTGTTTGGTTTTCGTTTTTTTTCAAGCATTGCTTACTCCAGGAACCATTGCACCTATTTGCATAAGCAGTTCCGGCCCGCCCACAGTGAGCAAGTGAGCCGCCCCTGAGCTGTGACCACGTCACCAATGCCAGTGGTTCTACCTCTGCTCTCACAACCCGGACTCACCGCACACCAACTCCGGGGAATGCTGCTTCCCCACCCAGCCTGCCTGGCAGAAGGACAGTGTCTTCTCATCCACGAGCCACTTGAGACAAAACGTCAAGCTTTCCAACCGCAATTGTTGTTACCAAATGGAATGGAAAAGAAAATTAAAAGGGAAAAAAAAAGATGGAGTTTGGTGAACACGAATAAAAGTGTCTTCAATAGGGTCTTAAAGGTTTGAAGGTAAACAAGCAGCCATCTGGCTCAGAAGCAACAAAAACCCACATGGAAGAAACACACTAGCCTGTGCGATCATGAGGTGTCGCAGGGATCAGGTATCAGGCATCAAAGAATGAAAAAAATCATATCATTGTGAATGAGGGGAGTGCGGATGGAGACCCAAAGCCCATCTGTAGTCAACTGGACATCCCCTTACAGAAGAGTCACAGGGAGAGGAGCCAGTCAGGGTGCAGTGTAGCAAGGATGAAACATACAACTTTCCTCTAGTTCTTAAATGCTTCCTCCCCGCCCCCGCCCACCATCATGATCCCAGTTCTACCTTACAAATCTGGCTAGACCAGCGTATGTACACTGGTACAGATAAGAACTAGAAACAGGGAATCCAGGCCAGATGATCCCTTCAGGACCAGTGGTGAGAGTGGAGATACCGGGAGGGTGGGGTGGAAAGGGGGAACTGTATTACTGGGATCTACATATCACCTCCCCCCTGGGGGACACACAACAGAAAAGTGGGTGAAGGGAGATGTTGGACAGTGTAAGATATGACAAAATAATTTATAAACTATCAAGGGTTCATGAGGGAGGGAGGAGCGGGGAGGGAGTGGGAAAAATGAGGAGCTGATGCCAGGGGCTTAAGTGGAAAGCAAATGTTTTGAGAATGATGAGGTTTTACACAATTGATGTATGTATGGATTGTGATAAGAGTTATATGAGCCCCCAATAAAAAGATGTTTTAAAAAAAAGACATTTGAAGATAATTTCAGGTGAAGTGCTGCATGTACTCGTGTATAAGCTGAGTTTTTCAGCACATTTTTTTATGCAGCTTTTGTGGTAAAATTAGGTGCCTCAGATGATATTTGGGTTGACTTATACAATTTTTCCCCTCTGTAAATCAGTATGATTATCCATGAGAACCTATATTGGGCCCAACAAGCTCACTAATGTAATTATAGTTAATATCAAGATCCCAAAGCTATTGTGAGTATTAATAATCCAGATACATAGTTAAAATGACCACTGGTGGAAAATAAATGTGACTAACCTGTTGGAGTAGGAAAAACAAGAACATGACTTCAATATTCTCAGCAAGAGGAGTTTGTTGCCACGTGAGGGAGCTCATTGCATTGTTAAATGTAGCTGTCAGATGGGGCTTTATACTGGGTGATAAACAGTGAATGATTAATTGCATGAGTAACTTGCATCCCTCCTGTCATGAGTCTACATTCTGGGGAACATGTCATATTTCATATCAAAGCAAACAGCTATGCTGTCATCCACAGTCTTTTTCTGGTCAAATATTCCTAGTTTCATGATGGTTCCCAATTATGAGCTGGACCAGCCCATCCTGAAATGCTACAATTTGGTAATACTTCCTAAAGTAGTCAACATTTCCGAACATAGATTTCCAGGTATAGTAAGAGTCATACACCCACTGCCCCCAAGGCCATTCTGGTTCCCCGAAGCCCTGGGTGCCGAGTGGTTATGGGTTGTGTTGCTAATCAGCAACACAGTTTGGCAACTGTTATCCAATATTATACAGTTTGGCAACTGTTATCCAATCTCAATGAACTTATTTTTAATAATCCAATCTAGCATGTAGCTCAGTTAGGCAAACTAGGAAAACATTCGCAGCTGACACCTTGGAAGTCTAATTATGTCATTGTATTCATTAAAACAAGAAATTTTAGGAATGCAATGATTTTTTTATGGCCACGAATGGCTGGTAACAACTGGTTGAAAAATTTTTAGGTTAAAATCACTGTGATCTTGCTTTATGGCACTGGGCTTTTGAGCTTAATCTTTCATTTCCCAAAAGATTGTGAAGGACAAACTGTATCTCTATGTACTCATTTAGCTCATCCGTAGGTAATGAATTTTAGGAATCTTTCAATTTTTCTTGAAAATTGGGTAGCTTTCAATATTTCTAAAAAAATATTAGTGCTATCCTCCAATACAGTTTATTCTCTGAGTTTAGGGACCCAATATTAATTGACAACATAAAATATTTGTGATTTGTTAGACTTATAACCTTTATACAAGTTTCCTTATATAAAATAATATTTGTAAAATAATGTCGGAAAGCTATTTAGTTCATTCAGTTCTTATTATTGGTGATTACTAACCTGAAGTTCATTAAATCCCTTGAAATTATACACAAAATGTGTGTGTGTGTGTGTGTGTGTGTGTGCGTAAAATCTCAAATAAAGAGTCTATAACTTCAGTGGAATCTCAATGTGGTCCATAACTCAAAGAATGTCAAAGCCCTCCTTTAGCTCAAAATTTATTTTTAGATCAGGTCCAAACATCAGTTCCATACTTGTTCAGTATTTTGGGGGTCTGTTATTAAAATAACTTATATATAATTAAGCTTGGTGTACTGACATCAATTGTATAGAGGAGAATTTATCTAAAACGAAAACATGGAATACTATTCATCCCTAAAAAATAGTGATGAAATTATGAAACACCTCATCTCATGGAAAAAATTGTGCTGAGTGAAGTTAGCCAAGGGCAAAAGGTCAAGTACAACATGAATCCACTGAGGTAAGTTCAAACAGCAGAATAGGAATAAGGGAAAACACACAGAAACACAATTTCCGGGCTGAGGACGAGATATTCTGGCAAAAGCCAGACAAGACCCAATGATTCATGTCATCAACACCAAATGGAAATAGCCGCTCCTCTGAAAGGCATCTTGTTCCTCCCTCTCATAGACCTTTGAGGCCCACAGAGGGGTGGGGGAAGAATAATGATGGCAATGGGGGGTCAGGGCACTAACCCATTCAAGGGGAGGATATTATTTATATCTCCACCAGAAAGGAAGAGCAAGAGTAGACCTCATACCAGTGTGCCAGTCCTTGAGGGTGATGTTTGTGCTCAGAGCAGCTCCTTCCCAGATGTCTGCAGGGCTGGCCTCAGCGCAAGACGTGATGTCCTCTCTAAGTGACAGCACTGCAGAGGACTGCCCTGAAGATACAGCTCAGGGAGAGCACTGGTCTGACTCCCACAAAAGGGGGCAAATCAAGAGACAGACCCATGATGGGAGCAAAGAAACAATTGTAAACTTCGGACTTGGGGTGGGGGTGAGGGCATGGCAGTACTTGGCATCCCATCTGAACTGGTTGGGCATTACTCATGAGGAGGCCGCACTGAAAGTCTAAAGGCATGATGGGGCGGGGTCGGAGCACTAGACCATTCCATCCTGACCATGGGATACCAATGTGGTCTTACAGATGCTCGCCTTGTGGACACGATGGATGCAGACTAAAAGGGTGTGTTCTATGTCATGTGCCCTGTTAGACTTGTGACTATCTGTATGTTTTATTTTGGTTGCGTGTGGTGGGGAGCTGTTTGTTATCTTTTTGTTTGGCATTTATCTATACAAGACATGCAGGATAGACAACCTTACGGAAACAGTGACTGGACCATGGGACCATGGGAGGGGAGGTGGGGAAGGAGAGGTGATCAAGGGGCCAACAATGATGGGTTCAGGGAAATAGAATGTGTTCTAAAGTTGATGGTGAAGAGGGGTAGCTTTTCTGACCATGTTTGTTCAAGGGATTTGTATCTGGAATTACGGAGAGGTGAACGATGGGTAAACACAGAAGTGGTGTAGGAGGAAAAGAAATATATGTATAAAAGATAAATATACGTAAATTTATTTATATATGTATATGCACGCACTCGCAACAAAGAAGCAGATGGACTTTGGGCTTCTACCTAAATCTTGCCTCAGTACAAGAATGGTTTGTTCTAAAAATGTGGCATTATATGCTACTCACCTTTCTGACATGATCGCTGAAGACAAAGCGGGTGCATAAGCAAATGTGGTGAAGAAAGCTGATAGTTCCCTGCTATCAAAAGATATAGCATCTGAGACCTTAAAGGTTTGTAGTTAAACAAGCGGCCATCTAGCAGAGAAACAAAGAAACCCACATGGAAAAAGCACACCAGTCTGTGTGATCATGAGGTGTTGAAGGGGCGAGGTATCAGAAGTCCAAAAACACAAAACCAAATTGATGTGAAGGGGTGTGGATGTAGTGGAGGCCCAAAACCCATCTGAAAGATAATTGGGCAGTCCCTCTCAGAAGGGCCACACAGAATGCATAATAAGTTGAGGGTGTGGTATGGCACTGGTGAACCACAGAACTATCCTCTAGTTCCAAGATATTTTCTCCCCGTACTATTATGGTTTTTACTTGTTTTACCTAATTATTCACGTTAGATTTGCATATGTTTGTTTGCATATTTAAGATCATGCAATTCATGAAAGTTGAGATAGATAGCCCTTCAGAAATGGTTACAGCAGGATTGGTTCCCTGAGGGTACAGGAAGGGAGTGGGGAGGAAGGAGAGGATTGGGAGCTGATAGCAATTATGACTGTATAACCCTACTCTATGAACTGTATAACCCTACTCTATGAACAACAGAATTGAATGTGAATGGGTATATTGGATTGTGTAAGAAATGTTAATAAAGCTATAATATGTTTTTAAATTATGAGAGTATATTTGAGTAAAATGAAGTTTCTTACTGCCCTTTTGTTTATTGTTCTTTTTTCCCTAACATAATGAAAATCAAAGTAAAAGCATAAAAATATTTTGTTCTGCACTGAATGAAAAAATACTTTAATATTTAACTGCATGGTGAATAAATGGACATTTCAGAAACCACCCAATACACTTTACCAAGACTAAATATTATTTTTTAGGACAACAGTGACATATTTTTGGCAGGGTATTAAAGTCAATATTAATGTATAAGATACCTTATAAAATTGTTTACAAGTTCAGTCTATTGATCATTGTATTAAAAATATATTGCATTTACATTATAAGTAGTATTTTCTTTAAAACATGCTTTAGAAAGATGACTTCTAAATAAAAAATAACTATTAAATTTAACAAATTACTTGAAAGGATGAAATGATCATTCAGTATATAAAACAATGACATATTAACAAAAACACAACCCTTAAAACAAACTATTAAACAACATTAATGTTAAATAATTAGAAATAACAACTTTGGCAAGTATTATAGGAAACATTTGATCACATAATTACTAACAGTGAGAATTAAGCTTTCAGACTGACATCATCTTGCTTGAAATATTTTCCATAGTCTCTCTTTTAAATATAAAACTCATGTTTAGTAAAGTCCAATCCTGTAAGGTTAGAGAGGAGAAATCAAGACTTAGGCAAATAAGATAACTCGTAAGCGTTGCTGTCCCATTTTTACAATCCTATTGAGAAAATTATTTTCAACTCTAAATTCATTTCCAATATTTAAAAAGTCTTCAATAAATATATGAATAATTTTATACATTCATACACTATAATATGAATAATTACAGTGTTAAAAGCTTTCTTTTTTTTAATAGTTTTATTAGGGGCTCATACAACTCTTATCACAATCCATACATACATCAATTGTGTAAAGCACATTTGTACATTAATTGGCCTCATCATTCTCAAAACAGTTGCTCTCCACTTAAGCCCCTGGCAACAGGTCCTCATTCCGACCCCCTCTCCCTGCTTCCCCTTCCCTCATGAACCCTTGATAACTTATAAATTATTATTTTGACATATCTTGCCCTGTCCGACTTCTCCCTTCACCCACTTTTCTGTTGTCCTTCCCCCAGGGGGAAGATCACATGTAGATCCTTGTATTAAAAACTTTCTTAAGAAACACTTTAAAAATAAGAAACAACTATAAAAATCTACCAAAATATATCATGTCCTTATTATTAATTATTATAATATTACCATTCATCAAAATATTTCCTGCACATATGATTGTATTAAGAAAAAAAACTGTGGCATATTTACTAGCTTGTTAAATTTGAAAACACATTAAAAATATTGAAGACTGACTGTTTAGGAAGACTAAACGTCTATTCTTATAAGAACATATTTAAATTACCTCCTGTTATCTTCTGTGGGACATTGTATTTGGGAGACATCACCTGTCTCCTGCCCATTCCATGAGATCTGGAAAGCAAGCAGTCTACGTACATGTCCCAGAAATCCTGAGCTATGTTTAAGAAGACATTGTAATGCCTGGGCCGCTGGGATTTTTGCAAGAACAACATGAAATTCCAGAAAGTATCCACGTTGTACTCGATCTTGAGTTCCTTGAGCTCTATCAATGTCAAAGAGCAAGCGTTCCAACATTGGAGATCAATATCTCCTTTGATCCCAGGGCTGACACTAGCAAGCACTCCCTTTTGAAACTCAAAATCGGCATTAACCACCTTGATCAGCAACATGCAGCTCACTAGGAAGTAGTGCCATCTTCCAGCGGCAGAACCCATATTCTATAGAGAAAAGAAAAAAGGGGAGGATTATTTATTACTTAAATACTTTTTTACTGATACTTAGAAAAGAATTCAGTTACTTGGGGAATTTAAAAAAAAAATACATAAACGCATGTGGTTTTCCATCCAACTGGCTGTCCTCCTGACTGCCCACTCTCAGACCTCCCTTGGAAAGGATAGTCCATTCCTCCTGATTCCAGCACTCTGATACGCAGGCAGAGGAAGCCCTGAAGTCCAACAAGCCGTGTGTATGAAGAGGTTCGTCTCATCACGAAGCTGCAAGCAACCTTCAGGAGCATGTGTGCCAACCTCTCCCCTTGACAGATAGGAACACTTCCTAGTGATTCGCCTCTGTACGTTCTATGGCACTACCATCCATCAAAATGCAACCCATTCTTTGTGTACACCGGAGGGAGTGGTGGTAGTAGTGGTGGTATTTTTATTAAAATGTTACAAATCTGTTAACCCCAAAGTGGCCAAGAGCTGTTTTAAGTTTCAAAGTGACTACCACTTTCCTTTTCATTCAGGCAAAAGTCAGTCAGGCACCCTAGGAGATCCCTGGCTCCCTTGGGAGCTGGTTGGAGGAGTCACACATAGGAGGACGAAAACACAGCCAGGAGAGCGCAGGGTCCATACAGCACGTGCTGCAAAATCTCCACAATGCCTAACGTTTCTGCGAGCAAGTTCCCAGCCAGTCGGTGGCTCCAGGAAGCCTGGGGCAGCAGGCCACCGAGCTCCGTCACAGGCGGACACGGGCAATGCCAGGGAACAACCAGGGTGAAGTAGGGATCTGCGGGTCCAGTAGACAGGGCTGACCTCCATCGCCTCGGGCCACCACCTCCCCGAAACCAAGGGAGGGAACCCCAACGAGACTAACGTGAATTTAGGATGGTCAGGGCGGTTCACATCGTGGGAAAGTGTGCAAACTCCCAGAGGGTGGCCAGTGGCCGTACCCGTTCCGCCGGGATGGCGCCTGGCCTGGGCCAGCGTTTGCAGGTCTGCATCCCTGGACCCGGTACCGCGGGGCCCCGGTACCTGTCGCCGGCGGTCGGGCGAGCGTCCCGGCGCGCTGTCCCGCGTGCGCTCTGTTCGCTCGGCGGCCGGGGACCCAGGCGGCTCCTGCCCCGCGCGGACCCGAGGTCTCCGCGCAGCGCCGACCTCCTGCCCTGCGGGACCCGCCGTGGGCAACCAGCGACGGGGAGGAAACAGTGCTCGGCCGCCGCCCGGAGCGCTCACCGCGCTCTGAGCTCGCCCGCAAATGCCCGGAAAGGCGCCGAACTTTCGGGGCGCGCCGCTCGGGGCTGGAGGCTCTGGGAGGCGGAGGAGCGGCGCTGGGGGACCCGCTGCGGCCGCGCCAGGCTCCGCACTCCAACCGTCCCGCGAGCCGCGCGGCTTTTGTAGCGGCCGAGTCTGGGGGCGAGTCCGGAGAGGGGACGGCGCCGAGGCCACGCCCTCACCTGGCCACCTTCTCCGCTGCAGACCCCTCCCCGTCCTGTTCCTCTGTAGCCTCCCTGAGAAGATGCACAGCTCGGAAAATTTGTTTGCACAATAGCTCTTTTCCTTCTTCTAACCCGATCCCACGCCCTATCCTCCGATTCAGGAAACAAAACATCAACAACAACACTCTCATCAGCCTGTAGCCCTTGCTGGAATCAAGTAGATTCCAATTCATAGCGACCCTACAGGGCAGACTAGATAGGCCCCTGTGGGTTTCCGAGGCTGGAACTCTTTACAGAAGCAGAGAGCTTCATCTTTCTGCTTTGGTGGGTTCAAACTGCTGACCTCACAGTTAGCAGCCCAATGGCAACCTAGGACTCCCTGCGAGTTTAAACCTCTAAACCTCTCTGGGGCAATTACAACCCAGCTTAGAAGAGGTGCCGCCCAAGTGCTCCTTAGAATCAAGGATGGCGAGACATTTTCTTACATATTTTGGACATGTTGTCAGGAAAGATCAGTCCCTGGAGGACTCCATGCTTAGTAAAGTAGATTGGCAGCAAAAAAGAGGAAAACCCTCAACGCGGCGGAATGACCCTGTGGCTACAATGGGCTCCAGCACGGGAACAATTGTGAGGATGGTGCAGGACCGGGCAGTGTTTCATTCTGTTGTGCATAAGGCTGCCGTGGCTTGAAACTGACACTGTGGCGCCTAACAACGACAGATCTCTCTGACCGCTTCCAACCTCTAGGAGAGCTATGAGTTAGAGCCACAACAACACAGCCTTATCCACTCGGTCGGACACATACAAATCTCATGCCTCTGTTCCAGTGTTCCATGTATTCCAGCATCTGCCGTGGAGCTCATGCAAACTCATCACATCCTGTGTGTGTCAAAGGAGGACGGGTTTTTCAGTAGTAGACCTCCTGGTCTTTCTCTAGAAACGCTGAAGGTTCCTAAGCAGCCGAGCGCAATCATGTGCACCGCTTAAGGATAATTCCAAGGGTAGCTCTGGTAGCTGAGTGGGTTACACGCAAGGTCGGCAAGTTGAAACCATCAGCCACTCTTCAGGAGAAAGACGAGCTTTGCTACTCGCATGAAAGTTGCAGTCTCAGCAACTGGAGTAATGGTTCCTTAGGGATATGGCAGAGGTGGTTGAGGGAAATGCGGAGCTAATAACAATGAGTACAAGAATGAAACTGATTGTGATGATGATTTTACAACTCTTGATGTGATTGAACCACTGAATCGTATATGTGAATTATGTGCCTATAAAACTGTTGAAAAAGAAGAAAGAAAGCTATAGTCTCAGAAACCCAGAAGGGCAATGCTTCCCTGTCTTAGAAGGTCACTGTCAGTCAGAATCCATTGGTAGGCAGTGAGTCTAGCTTTGGAGAAAGACTCACCCAAATGTTCCAATTCATGATTAATCATGTACTTGAAAAGTTAGTAGGAACTGTAGACGTTATCTAGCCCATCATGCTGTATGACACTTGAACCCTACCCATACTCACTCTCCCAAAGAATTCCCTCATCCATCTAAGGTGTCCAGTTTGACTTACTGCCAGAGCCTCTCCTTCCCCTCATTTTAAGGAAGTAAGCCGTTCTATCCTTGAGTTACTTGACACTTCAGTTGTTCTTTGTAAACTGAGTTAAAACAACAACAACAACCCATCTACTTCACTTGAATTCATAGCAACTCTATACAGGGTTCCCAAGGTTGTAAACCTTTATGGGAGCAGCGTCTCATTGTCCTCCCTGCCAGGAGGAACTGGGGGTTTTGAACCATGGACCTTGCAATTAGCAATCTACAGCTTACCCAACAGTGCCATTTACATATTAAAATTGTAAAATTCAATTTGAAAAGTTTACAATTGTAAAAGTCTTTTTGGAAGATGTACCTTTTTATTATTAAACATTTCATTTCTATACAAGTACTGCAAATGATTTATAGAAAAATAAAACATGAAATTAAAAATGTAAAGGCAGGAAATTGTCGGTGTATTTCTTTCCAGGCCTTTTCCCCAAGGCATTGAGATCATGCTATAAGTTAATTCTCTAGAAAACCTGTTGTCCTCAGGTTGCTTCTGACTCATAGTGACCCCAGGGGTCAGAGCAGAACTGCCCCATCTGGTTTCCAAGGCTGAGTCAGCATGGACTTCATTGTAATGAGTTTGGCTTTTAAATCTTTACAGAGCACACTGCCTTATCATTTTTCTGAAAAAGCAGCTGGTGGCTTGGAATTTGCCAACCTCTCAGTTAGCAGCCAACTCCTGTGCCACCAGGGCTCCTCTGCAACTCTGTGTGATGCCATCTGATTCATGTCATCCCCAATATGCCTCGTGGTGTCTGTAGACAAGAGGAGGAGACAAAGCTACCAAATATCAGTGTGCACTGAAGTCATATTGTTGCTAAGAAGATATTCACACACAGAGAAAGGAATAATATCCGCAATAGAGAATTTCTAAAAATTAATCATAATCACGGTATAATAGAAAGATAAGTAAAGGGAATAAGCCAGCAACTCAAGGAAATGAAGTTGAGCCTTAACAAATGCTAAGACATTATATAATATACAGGTTTAGCGATGTTTGAGAAAATGAGCACTCATATATTTTGAGGCATATAAATTAGTGTAATTACCATGGAAGAAATGTAGCATAATCTCTTTAATCAGAAATGTTGCTCTTAGTGTCTACCCTCAACTCAGTGACACAGACTGACCACTGTGACACTGTGGCTGAATTCCTGAAGGTCCCATTGCTGACTAAACAGTCACAAGCATAATGTGTCAGTCATGGCTGGGTCCTCAAGAAAGTGAAATCTTCAAATCCCATGGCTCTGTCGCTATGCACTACGAGGGCACACTGCTGTTTCCACTACTGCTGGTGTTTTCATAGTCACTGATTTTGTCAAAAATTCTGGTTTTTTAGCTACAATACTGTGGTAATTAGTATCTATGAACCTTTAAAAGAATGAAGCACTAATTAAAAGAAGAGAAAATTTTAAAAACCTTCTGTTCGATTACTCGTAATTTTCTAACTGATCATGTAATTCAATGTCAATTTAAAAAACAATTTTATTCATATTTGTATAATCTAGGAAATTTTACATTTAAGCAATCTGCAATGATATTTATCACATATTAACCTATGATTACAATTTATGAAAAGTATTATTAAAGATTCTCTATGACCTGGCATGGGAGGAGGCAGGGTGACCCCAGGAGTTACCACACTGAGCAACACCCACTCTAGTGGCACCACGGAATGCATTGTAAACATTTTCAGGTACCTTGTAAGAAACAGAAATAGAGAACACAACTTTTGACCCAGTAAACTCAAAATCTCCCTACCATTGAGTTGATTCCAACTCATAACTTCTTTCTAGGACAGGGCAGAATGTCTCTTTGAATTTCCAAGACTATAAATCTTTATGGGAATAGGAAACCTTGCCTTTCTCCTGAGGAGAGGCTGGTGGTTTCGAATTGCTGATCTTCCATGAGCAGCCTAAGGCATAACACACGACACCAACAGGGCTCCTTTGACCCAGTGATCATATGAATTGTAAATGATGTTCAGCAAGAAAATATAATGATTGCAAGTTTGGATACACCTACTAATATATAAGGCAAATATTGATGGAAAAGTTGACAAACTTACAATAATAAAGGGATTTCAATAAACCTCTAGGTCAAAGTGCAATCGTGTGACAGAAATATAGCCCAGTTATTGGACGCGAGGAAACAAATGACAGGACTACAGATCTAAGGCAGAAAGACAAATTACCACTAAATACAACTGAACAACACAAGTAACACTTGATATAGGTTCCTGAATGTTCCACTCAATAGAACATAAAACAATCTCTTAAAATGTACAAGTCTCAACAGTGTTTTAAATTTATCATTCAAAAAAAGTTAGCATTCAAAGTATAGTATCAGATTCCAAGACAAGAAGTTTAATAATAAAAATAAGAACAGAAATGTCCATATGTTTGGAAATTTAAATAATATACTGATTTGTAAAATAACCTTAAACAACAAATTTAAACGATTATTAAAATTGTTAAATGAATTGTAATTGAAATTAAAATGCAAAATTTAAAAAGGAAATATATAACTTGTTTTAAGATAGCCATAATACATTTACGTCTAAGTTTAGATTTACTTGTTGACTATTTGTTGGTTGGTGTTGTTGAGTTGACTCACGGAGACCTATGTACAATGGAACCCAAACCAGCCTGGTCCTGCACCCTCCTCACAACTCCCCGTGTGTCTGAGCCCACTGCTACAGCCACTGCATCAATCCATCTTGTTGAGGGGCTTCCTCTTTTTTGCTGACCCTCTACTTTATCAAGCATGATGCCCTTCTCCAGGGACTGGTCC